ATTTGATGTAAGCCGTTGCTACAGAGGCTTGCCGGCTTCTCCCTGCTGTGAGCTCCTGGACAGGGGCATTATCTTCGTATGTCCTGCACCTTCTCCAGTTGCTTGCCTTTCCAGTGATGTAAATACATTGCACTTCTTTTCAGTTTGGTTTTCTTCATGCCTTTTCCTGTCACTCATGGTACCAGCCTATGTTATTAGGATGCAGATCTTCCTCCTGTGATGCCTGTGGTCATCTGCTCTCTGGCTTTTGGACAGTCTCTCTCTCCTCCTGTATCTGGCCACCACCTGGGCAGCTTGATGACATCTTGTGATCCCTGGGAAATTACAATATCTAATTAAATTTTAAATTGTAATGTGAGACATAGTCGACTGTGTTTAGTGATAATAAAATCAAGGTACAGAGATTGTTGAAAACATGTAGGTTTAGAAAGTCAAGATTCTCTCATCTGTCAGGTGTGGTTCTTCACACAAAAAGCTGAAACTTCCTGCCCATTTAATCTGTTAGATTGGAGGAAATTGTTGTACTGGAAATAAAACCCTTCATTGGTCTTCTAAGAGTCTTAGTGTGCTTTAAAGGTGTCATTATTTTTTTCCAAAAGACAAGTTCAGTGACCTTCCAAACTGTGATTCTAAGCTGCTTATGTTACTTTGTATTCTGTGTGGCTTATTCAGCAGATTACGTTAAACTGCGGGCCCTGCTTCTCCCCGTCCCTCTCCCCGTCTCTCTCCCCGTCTGTGCGGCCCTGCTTCTCCCCGTCCCTCTCCCCGTCTCTCTCCCCGTCTGTGCGGGCCCTGCTTTACCCCGTCTCTCTCCCCTGCTTCTCCCCGTCTCTCTCCCCTGCTTCTCCCCGTCCCTCTCCCCGTCTGTGTGGCCCTGCTTCTCCCCGTCCCTCTCCCCGTCTGTGTGGCCCTGCTTCTCCCCGTCTCTCTCCCCGTCTGTGCAGGCCTGCTTCTCCCCGTCTCTCTCTGTCTGTGCGTCCCTGCTTCTCCCTGTCTCTCTCCCCGTCTGTGCGGCCCTGCTTCTCCCCGTCTCTCTCCCCGTCTGTGCGGCCCTGCTTCTCCCCGTCTCTCTCCCCGTCTGTGCGGCCCTGCTTCTCCCCGTCTCTCTCCCC